TTCCTCCTTTCTTAAGGCACTGTTGCTATGGCACTTTTCTATAACCTTTTCATTCCTGTGTACAGTAGCTTAAAATTGCAGTGATTGAGCATAACCCACTTGTTTGTATAAATTATTGAAAATCCATTTGCACCCTGTAAGAATGGACTTAAAGTACTGCTGAGCATGTGTGCTGAAAGTACACTGAGTGCTCATTTAAAAGGAAATGGCCCAATGAACATGGTTGTGGGAGGGGAAAGAGGAAACAAAGCTAGTCAGATGTGAACTGTATCTGTTGTAATAAACACGTTAAAAAAAAAAAAAAAACGAAAAATTGTTACTTTCTTTTCCTTCGGTCAGTGCACATTAGAGTTTAAACTACCTGGGTTTTCTTTATCAGAACTATTCTTGTTGAATATTTATACTTAAAGGAATTAATTCCTAAAGGAACATTTTGTTTAAAACATATTAACAGGAAATTGTGTATAAGATATTTAATAAAAATGAAATTCAACAAGAATGATTAAGTCACTTCCCACGTGGTTGTCATTTGTTAAGCCCTGGTTTACCTGTCTTGCTATTATGACGTTTCATTTTGAAGGATGTTTGTGTTGTAGCTAACTGTTCAAGTCTGGTGCTGACTGCTGTTCTTAGCCATCACAAAACGCTAAATTTGTGTAATTGGAGCTTCCTGCTGTTATCTGAAAATGGTGGGAACGCTCAGCTTTGTATATTGTTTCCTAAAGTATATTAAAATAAAAAAAGAAACTATTGCTACTATACAATTACCTTGGCTTTTTTTCTTTGCTAAAAATACTAGTCACGTGGCCTTAGTATGACACTGCCAGTATTGTATCAAATGTTTCTGTATGCAGAAAAATTTTTAATTGCTAACTTCCAACCTGTGATTTAGTGGGCTTTTCTGGGTAGTGGTTGAGACAGATGAGTGCTTCCAGAATTGCCAGCACACAGGCTCAGCTCTGATGGTTTGCATCCTTATCAGTGTTACTACTTGCTGAGACACCAACTTGATTTTTAGAATTACTCTTTTGCTTTGGTTATGTTAAACTATATAAGTTAAAAGTTGGGGCTTTTTTTCCCTTAATTTCACAACTAAACTTTGGGTGGTATTTTCTGAAATAGATGTTCCCATATAATTGAGAGAAATTTAAATCCCCCCATGTGACTTAATGTTTTTTAAATGTAAGAAAAGACAAATGCCATGAATTATGTTTGTCATGAAATGTTCTTGCCGTGATTGTTGCCATTTTCTGGACTAAATTAGTGCATGTAAGTTGAAGCCCCAAAGAGCTGTTAAGGTAGAACCCTTATTGTACCTTTCCTGGGAGGAACTGAACAATTTGTAATGTAACAAGGTAGATGTTTCCTGGTCATAGGACAACTTGTGATTTAGGTAAATATGAATTTGATTTGCTCATAGCTTATTACACTTTTGTTTAAGGAAATTTATATCCATAAGTAAACCAGTTATATATACTGGGGAGAAGATGCCTAATTTGAATTTTTTATTAGTGAATTTTTTAAATGCTAAATTTTCTTGTGAAAATATTTTTATAGTATTTGATCCACTTACAGTTCTGTAGTAAATGATTTTAAATATTGCACTTTATAATACAAATATAGCCAGTTCCTAACCTGCTTGAAATGATTAGGGACCGTATATTAAAACAGGCACAGTGTTCTGGGATATTCTTTAGTTGGCCCACTTTTTTTGGATTTGAGCATGTGCCTTGATTTAGATAATGTGAAAACAGAGCCTTCAAGAATTTTAGGACATTTTCAGTTTTTTTGTTTGTTTTGGTTTTTTTTTAATCAGTGCTCTGTCTTCAAACCCTAAGAACTGCTGTGGCAAAAAATACATTTTGGGCCGGTGCAGCTGTTAGAAAACTTTCCTCTGAAGAAACAAGCTTTCATATCTCTTTCATTCAGTAAAACATCTTAAAACTGGGGTTTTCAGATTTCATGTGCACTGAAAACTACAAACTCCAGCTCTTTGTAGACATGCTCTTTTTTAATCAGCCCAAATGAATGAACGAAAAGTTTTACATATAAATGTCTCACAATTGTAAAATCTTTTGAAGGGGTGGCTTAACACTTTGAAAAGAATGGATGGATCATCCTTTTAAAATGCAATTTTGTGTTCAGTAAGCACAACCAAGGGCTTTAAACAATTTGAGGGTGAGCGTGTAGGGCGGACAGTAATGCACTCTGCATACCATAGTCTAGTTCAGGACAATGCTACTGTACTTAGA